CGGATTTCTTTTAATAAGATTTTGTTCTACAATTTTCTTTTTAACTGCCTCTTCATATTCTATTTTCCAAAGCACAAACTGTCCTCCTGACAAACAAGCCTTAGCCACCTGAAACCAATCATAAGGAGTCATCCACCAAGCACGAAGTCCGTCTAAAAAGGTCAATGTAAATGGTGCCGAGGGACCATAATCATGACAAGCAGCTTTCACATCTTTCAATAATTTCATAGATATGGGTTCCCATCTAGGGGGTTCAAATTCTAAATCAACAGGAAAACAATGAAGAGGGTCTTCTGATTCTAAAACCTTTTGTATAGTTCCTCGAAAACCTGGCACATATTTCTTTGGTGATTCTACACTTTGACCACTAGATGGTAGTATGGCCTTACTTTTAGAAACTACAGGAAAAGAAAAATAAGGCAAATCTGGGTTTTTATATTTTGCTGCTTCCTCATTTAATTCTGCATCATCCACAGGAGATAGATGATCCCCAGGATCATGTCCTTTAGCTGTCTCATCCTCCTCAGATTCTGAATCACTCTTGGGGAAAGAACCATAATTAGGATTAAGTACCAACGCTTTCCGCAAGATGCTCCATAGGGAATATGAATCTTGTGTCATCTGAGATCCACCGTGAGCATCATACAATTTTTTCATATTTTTACCTACCTCATCCCATGTTTCTAGTTCTAATGTTCCTTGATCAGGAAACCACGGATTAACTTTCTGTACAAAATCTAGAAAAGAATTTACTTTGTCTTTGCTTACCTTAACACCTTTATGCATTAACACTTTAGACATGATTTCAATATAGGCTTGCCGTTCTTTGGAGCCGCAGTTCCCCATAGCTGTGACAACAAAACACCAATATACACAAGATACAGTAAAATATATATAGAAACTGAATCACACTATATGGCGATAATAAGTCACACAGTACGTCGGCGACACTATACAACCAGACCTGCTTGCCTTGTCAGCCCGTACTCACTCGCGGGGGGCCTGTAGCACCCTAAGGCAAGATCCGTCCTGAAACGAGATGAATGAGATGAACAAACGGGGGAACATATATATACACTTACCGGAGTCAGGCCCCTGTTCCGGGCGCCGACGCAGTTGGTTGCTAGCCCCGACCTGAGGGGAGTTGGATCTGCTCCAGGGAATCAGGATACGGTGAGAAGAAACCACTCGAAGGCAGTCCTTCTGGGTCAGGTCTGGCCAAGACCGTTCCAAATTTTATTCAAACTTCTTCCACCTTATATAACATTTTCTATCATCCTTAGCAATATGACAAACATTCGTATACCATTCTTCTATCACCCCTAGCAATATGACAAACATTCGCTGGGGGCTTACATGTCCCACAGGGCACAACGTTTTTTTTTTTTTTTTTTCATTAATCAGTATTTTTTATTATGGTTTTGTGGGGTACAGTTAAGGGTTAGGTGTACAATGACGTTTCATTCAGGCACCCTGTAGATAAGAAGGGTTTTCCCATCCCCCGACAGATATTTGCTACTGTTAATCCCATCCCCCTCCCCCCCATAGTTTCCCAGTACCATCAGTCATTTTCTCATAGTATTGCATTGGATGTTCAAGGTCCATTATATGAGTGAGAACATGTGATATTCGGAATTTTGTTTTTGTGAGAGGTCACTCAGTATTATAGACTCTAGTTCCATCCAGGTTGCAGCGAAATTCATGATTTTGTTCTTTTTTATGGCTGCGTAGTATTCCATCGTGTATATGTACCACATACTGCACACGTATGTTTATCGCAGCATTGTTCACAATAGCAAGAACCTGGAAACAACCATGCTGCCCATCAAAAGAGGACTGGATTAAAAAAATGTGGTTCATCTTTGATTTCTTTGAGCAGTGTTTTGTAGTTTTCATTGTAAAGGTCTTTCACGTCACTGATGAGAAAGATGCCAAGGTATTTCATTTTTTGTGTGGCTGTTGTGAATGGAATTGTGCTTTTTATTTGGGTTTCTGTTTATTATTGGTGTATAGAAATGTGATTATCTTTTGCACATTGATTTTATACCCTGAGACTTTGTCAAAGTCCTTTATCAGTACAAGGAGGTTTTTGACAGATTCTCTTGGGTTTTCAAGGTATAGAATCATGTCGTCTGCAAAGAGGGATAACTGAACTTCCTCTTTTCCTATTGGGATACCGTTGGTCTCCTTCTCTTGTCTAATTGCTCTAGCTAGGACTTCCAAAACTATGTTGAAAAGGAGGGGTGAGAGTGGGCATCCTTGTCTTCTTCTGCTTTTCAGGGGGAAAGGTTCCAATTTCTGTCTGTTTAGCAGTATGCTGGCTGTGGGTTTCTCGTAGATGGTTCTTACTCTTTTGAGGTATGTTTCATCTATTCCTAGACGTTCGAGGGTTTTTATCTAGAATGGGTGCTGGACTTTATCAAACACTTCTCCTGCATCTAGTGATATAATCATGTGGTTTTTGTTTTTACATCTGTTGATGTATTTAAACAATCCTCAGCATAAAAACCCCAAGAAACAAAAACAAACAAGCAAACACCAAAAAAACCCCCAAAAAACAAAAAACCCACAAAAAAACAACAAAGCAGGAGGTCTCAGACTCCCAGGCTTTAAACTATCCTATAAAGCTACAATAATCAAAACAGCCTGGTACTGGTACAAGAACCGATGGAATAGTACTGGTATAGACCAATGGAATAGAATTGAGATTCCAGAAGCAAAACCTCAATTTCCCAACCAACTCATCTTTGACAAAGCCTCCACCACCAACAACTAGGGAGAGGAGAACTTATTCAGTAAATGGTGCTGGGAAAACTGGTTGACCACATGCAGAAGATTGAAACAGGACCCCTACCTATTCCCATACACAAAAATTAACTCTAAATGGATCAGAGACCTAAACGTAAAATCTCAAACTATAAGAACCTTAGAAAATGCAGGAGGCACCATTATGGAAATTGCAACCGGTAATCAATTCCTAATCAAAACCCCAAGTGTCCAGACCATAACAGATAAGATAGACAAGTGGGATGTCATCAAACTGACAAGCTTCTGCAAAACCAAATAAACCATCAAGAGAGCAGGGAGACAGCCCACAGACTGGGAAAAAGTATTTGCCAACTCCATGTCTGACAAAGGCCTAACATATAGGATCTACAAAGAACTCAATCATGCTGAAAAGAAAAAAACAAACAACCCCATTACAAAGTGGGCAAAAGACATGAACAGACACTTCTCAAAAGAAGACATACGAGCAACCAACAGATACATGAAGAAATGTTCAACCTCACTAGTCATCAAGGAAATGCAAGTTAAAACAACACTGAGATACCACCTAACTCCAGTCAGAATGGCCATCATCAATTACTCAAAAAATAACAGATGCTGGAGAGGATGTGGTGAAAAGGGAACACTTCTACACTGTTGCTGGGAGTGTAAACTAGTACAGACTCTGTGGAAAACAGTGTGGCAATTCCTGAAAGTTCTAAAAATTGACCTTCCATACGACCCCATAATCCCCCTACTGGGAATATACCAGGAAGAGCTCAAATCACTCTATGAAAAAGATACCTGCACACACATGTTCATTGCAGCATTATTCACAATAGTAAAAACATGGAACCAACCATGCTGCCCATCGAACGAGGACTGGATAGAGATAATGTGGTATATATACACAATGAAATATTATGCAGCCATAAAGAAGGACAAAATTATGAACTTCGCAGCAACCTGGATGGACTTAGAGTTTATAATACTGAGTGATCTCTCACAGAAACAAAGATCTGAGCTTCACACGTTCTCACTCATAAGTGGACCTTGAACAACTACCGCAATACTATAAGAAAAGGATTGACAGTGGCAGGAAACTATGGGGGGGCAGGGAGGGGTAGGGAGGTGGGATTAGCGGGAGTCAATATCTGTCTGGGGAAAGGGGGGCACACGTCATCAACAAGGGTACCTGCACAGTGAATATTTGTATAACTAACCCTGAAATGTATCCCACAATTTTAAAATAAAAAATTTTAAAAGTTAAGAAAAAAGAATTTATTTAGAGTCCTGACTGTGTCTTATTTCTTTATGTATTCTCTGAATCTGACATAGGACATAGAGAGTAAGTTCTGTGTAAATTTGTTCAATATGGTGGGGCTTGGTGGCTCAGCTTGTAATCCCAGCACTTTGGAGGCCGAGATGAGTGGATTGCCTGAGGCTGGGGTTTGAGACCAGCCTGGGCAACTGTACGATGACCACTTATGTACCGAACCCTGAATTGTACCCCATATCTTTAAAATAAAAATTAAAAATACTTACTTTAATAATGTTCAGTTTGGGTAACAAGCTACAGTCAGCCAGTGTCAGCTGATCCCCATCCAAGAACAATCTTCTGGAAACTATGAGTTCCTCAGCACTGTCTGGATCAATTTCATCCATAAGTGGAGTGTTTAAGTAGTCATCCAGACGCTTAAATTCTCTGAGCAGGGATTTTTCAAAAGCTGAAGCAATGAAGTCATAAGGTTGCTTACAGATGTATTGTGTTTATGACTAAATACATTCTCAACATGGTTTTCACACATTTAGACACCTCTATCTTTTTTTCATTGCTTATTACCCTTGTTTTGTGTACCCTTAGGGTGGAGGTATTTCTCAAAAGAGAGAATTCTTTGACCCATTGTCAAGGCCACATTCACTTTAGTTCAGTCCTATGGTTTTTGTGTTCCTCTCCTCAAAGTTTTGAGGTGAACATGCAGCCAAATAGGGCCCCAAGGGCTATCCTAAGTGTGATTCCTCTTTACATTCCACAGTTGGATTAATAAGAATGTAGCAGGGTGGAACACTTTTTTGGCATGCTTAAAACAACATGCTAGAATATTACCACTCTGGAGTTATTCTGGACACTTCCTTTCCTCTCTCTTGCACTCCACATCCAACCTGTCAGGAAACGATATACTGCAGAATCCAACTGCTTCTCATCCCCTCTTCTGAGATTCCCCTAGTCTTACCTGGGTAGATACCTCTCTCCTTAGTGACAATAGCCTCCCAATAGGGCTCTCTGCCCACCCTAACCCACCCCCAGGCTGTTTGCCTCACAGATTGAGGGCTTGTTCTCCAAATGAGGCCCTTCCTCCTCCTCACTAGCTGACCAGGCCCTTCACCCTCTAGATTGAATTGTGAGTTCTAAATCTAATAAAACTTCTTGCAAGGGGATTTCAGCAGAGAGAACAGAGAATGAGAGAAAAACTAGGCTGTTTTCCAACACACACTATGTATTCAGGAAACTCCTATTTTTTCCTGCATGAGAAAAAATAGAGAGATTTAAATAAAGGTAACTTACTCTTATTTGCCTCCTTTTGTGTATTCTTAATATATGCAGAAAACTTGGCAAAGAGATTGCATCCCACGTCAAAAGATTCCTTGTACTTGGGACTTAGGTGAGGATACCTTAAAAAGAAACATGAGTAAACTGTCATTTGCATGTGACAAGACAGAGACCAGATGCCTTAGCTTGTATTATAAGGGGAATGGAAGTTTTGAAAAATTGTGTTGGAAACTTAAAGTCCTCAGACATTTCTCAGTAGAAATATATTCTTTCTTAATCTCAGAACATTTTAGTTTCAATAGTTCTCAGGGAAATACCTTGTCTGCAATTCAAAGCTCATTTACCTGTAGAAACAATGTTTTAAATGGTGATGAAATTTTCATACTTGCTTGTTAAAAGTCTATTTGTCAGAAGACATGGTAGTAATACAATACATTTTTGGTGATAAGAAGTAGAAAAATATGGTTTCAAACATTGCAACCTATAAAACAAATGAAAGAATAGAGAGAGTGGAGAAAATGGGGGAAAAATAGCCATAATGCCCTCTCCTTGGTAATGCAAAATTAATTTAGCACAATAAAATAAAATAATGTAATCATATAATTTACCACATTACAAACTTAAATAAGAAACTCCATATGATCATGAATATATACAGAAAAAGCATGCAACAACAACAAAAAAAACACACCTCATAGACATATCTGTGGTCCCATGTTTTTTGCAGCATTATTCACAAAGGCCAAGATATGGAGACAACCTAAGTTTCCATTGACAGATGAAAGAATATACAAATTGTAGTGTACGTATATATGTAATAGAATAATTTCAGCCTTATAAAAGAAGAAATACTACCATTTTCAACAACATGGATGAACCTGGAGGACATTATGCTAAATGAGATAAGCCAGTCACAGAAAGATACACACTGCATGATCTCACTTATGTGTGGAATCTTTAAAAAGTCAAATATATAGAAACAAAGAAGAAAGCAATGATTACTAGGGATGTTGCGAGGAGAGAATAGGGAGATGTGGGTCAAAGGGTACAAAGTTGCAGTTATGTAGGCTGAATTATTCTAGAGATATAATGTACAACGTGAGGACTATTGTTAATAATATTGTATACTGAAAATTTACTAACAGAGTAGATTTAAGGTGCTCTTGCCACACAAAGGCAACTATGTAAAATGATAGATATGTTAATTTGTTTGACTGTGATAATCATTTTACTAAATATATGCATATCAAAACATGATGCTGTGCACCTTAAATGTATACAATAAAAACAAAGGCTAAAAAACTCAATTCCTGATCATTAAAAAACTCACTGGCAACCAGAAATGATCAGGTCAAAGGCTAAGACATCTTCCTTGATTCCTCTTTTTCCCTCTAACCCCACATTTGACCCACCAGCAACTCTGGCCAGCTCACTTTTCAGAATCTGTCCACTTCTCATCACCTCCACTGTTTCTGCCTGCATTACTGTAACAGCTTCTTTCTTCTTCTTACTTCCATACCTGTCCCCCATACCCTTGGAATATCTGGAATATTCTCCACCCATAGCCAAAGCAGCAATGTTAAAATGTAAGCAATATCATGTCTATTCTTCACTCGTTTGTCTTCATCGTATTCAGAGTTAGAGTCCAAGTTCTCATACAGTACTCTACAAGGACCCACAGGATCTGAACCACTCCTTTCCTCACCCAGTTTAATCTATTCACCACCCAGAAGCCAGGGTGATGTCTTTCCCCTATTCAATACTCTGAAATTGCTGTATCTTTCTCAGAGTCAGAGCCCAATTCTTTACAGTGGTCTACAAGGACACATATGACCTGGTGGTCCCACTTTACTGCTCTGCTTTCACCTCTTTCACTCACTGACTTGTGACATTGACTTTCCTGCTATTCTTCAAATAAGCCCGGCAAGATCCGGTCCCATGGCCTTTTCACTTGACCTGCCCTTAGATGAAGGACTTCCCCATATATGCACATGTCTTGTTCTCACTCTTCTTTCATGATTTTTTATTTGATATTCTCTTTCTAGTGAAGTCTTCCTTTGAACATTCAATGTAACATTTCAAAATCATCTCTGTTCTGAATACTCACTACTTCTCTCTCTTGCTTTGTTTTTCTTTTTAGCAGGACAATTTTGTATTTCCTATGTTATCCCTCCCCCAGCCCCAGGCAGCAGAGCATGGAAAGAGATACCTTCTTCTTAGGTGAAGGAGAAGGAAGTGACCACCAGGTTTTGCCTCAGACCCCTACACTGGGCCCACTGCAGTAAAACCCAGCACTGGACAGGCCATGATGGCCCCAGATTCCAGGCTGGTACTCACAAATTGGGCCTCCAAGTCCATTCCAGCATGAGGCTGGATCCCACGTCCCTTCCTTGTGGACATCTCTGGACCTTCCCCACCACCAGGCTGGCCTCCACAGATGTGGGCATTAGGCCAGCCCCTGTAGTCTCAGGCTCTAGGCCAGTCCTGAATACTCAGTCTCCCATCCCTGGGTCCACCCCTGTGCCAGTCCATAATGCAAATATTGGTTCACTTGATGGTGTCCCATATTTCCTATAGGCTTTCTTGTTCAAGGTCACTTATTCTTCTGTTCAACCTAACCTACTGGTTAGGCTTTCTATGGAAATTTTCAGTTCAGTAACTATATTCTTTTTTTCAATGGTTGATCTCTTTGCTGAACTTCTCACTTTGTTAGGTATTCTTTTCTTGATTTTGTTTAGTATTCTGTCTTTTTGTAGCTCACTGAACTTCTTTAACACAATTATCTTGAATTCTTTGTCAGATAGTTTGTAAATATTCATTTTTTAGGGTCTATTATAGATGTTTTGTTTTGTTCCTTTGGTGGATTCATGTTTTGCTGATTGTTTGTGATCCTCATGGCCATGAGCTGGTATCTGCCCATTTGAAGAAGTAAGGACTATTCCAGTCTTTTCAGGCTGGTTTCAGCTGGAAAAGCCCTTCACTAGCCAGCCTGTCTAGATATTCTTGGAAGGCCATCTGCTATGGCCCAGGAGTAGGCTTACTGCTGGAATCCTCAGGTGGGCTGTCCTATAGGAAATATGGGATAACATCAAGTGAACCAATATTTGCATTATGGATTTCTCAGGTGGTGCAGATAAAGAGAAAGGTGCTTATAAAGATATAATTATTGAAAACTGGAGGAAGATATAAATATCCAGAAACAAGAAGCTCAAACTTCTCCAGTCAGGCTCCATTCAAATGAGACTACACCAAGACATAGACTAAAATAGTCAAAAATCAAAAACAAAATAGCCTGTTATAACAATAAGATGTTTTATGTGAGCCTCATGGCAGTCACAAAACAAAACCCTACAGTATATATAGAAAAGATAAAAAGTAAGGAATCGAAGCATACCACTAGAGGAAATAACCTAATTACAAAGAAAAACAACAAGAGAACAAGAAAGGAAATGAATGAAATTCTCCAAGCAAAAAAATAGGGTTAAAAAAAAAAAAAACTTTAAATAAAAAGAGACTCAAAAAAGGTCATTACACAATGATAAAAGGGTCAATTTCTTAAAAGCATGTAACAATTTTAAGTATATGTATATACCTAATGTTGGAGCATCTAAATATATAAAGCAAATATTAATAGGTCTGAAGTGAGAGCTAGATAGTAATATAATAATAGTAGGGGACTTCAATACCCGTCAACAATGGACAGAACATTCAGAGAAAATCAATAAAGAAGCATCAGACTTAAAAATAAAAAGAAGCTTCAGACTTGAACTACACTTTATAACAACTGAACTTAGCAGACATATGCAGAACATTCCATCCAACAGCAGCAGAATATACATTCTTTTCAAGTGCATACAGAATATTCTACAGGATAGATTATATATTAGCTCATAAAATAAATCTTAACACATTTACGAAGATAAAAATGTTATCATTTATCATTTCCAACCACAATTTGTCAATAACAGGACAAATTTCAGAAAATTTACATATATAGAAATGAAACAACATGCCCCTAAAAGAATAAATTGAAAGCAACATTTAAATATATCTAGAAACAAATTAAAATGAACACACAACCTAGCAAAATTTGTAAGATGCAGCAAAATAAATCTAAGAGGGAAGTTTACAACCATAAATGACTACATCAAAGAAAAATATCTCAAGTAAACAACCTGTTACATCTAAGGAACTAGAAAAAGAAGAATAAGCTAAGATCAAAATTAGTAGAAAGAATAACATAATAAAGATCACAGTAGAAATAAAGTAGACACTAGAAAACATTAACAAAACCAAGAGTTGGTTTTCTGAAAGGAAAACAAAATTTACAAACCTTTAAGTACAATAACTAAGAAAAAAGGCTCAAACCATAAGAACCTTAGAAAGTAAAGGACATACCCTCATGGAAATTGGAACTGGCATCCAGTTCCTGAACAAAACCTGAAACCCACA